GTTGACCATATTTAAAGCACACGCATAACACAATAAAGAATTCTTCAGAGGAGAAATGTTCATGGACAAAAACTAAAATCAAAGAAGAAGTTTAACAAAAATCTAAATAAACCATGTAATATATATGACTTTCACTATTTTAAGACACTAAACATTTTTTACGTCAAAAGCATCTAAAAAATACAGATTTTTTTTTTATACTTAGCCTCATCACAAAGAAACTGTGGATATTAATAGAACAACCTTTATAAAGCAATTAAAATGCACTTTAAGAAAATGTAAACATAAAGAATTTATCATTCAAGTATTAAATTATTTTTAAAATAACATTTAAATAAAAATGAATAAAAAATACGTTTTAACACCCCTAATTTTAGGATAACATCAAAATTATAGAGCTTGTGAAGTAGCCGTAAGAAAGAGAATGACAGGTGTGTGTATATATACATATAAGGTACACACATACCTTAAGACATAATGCTAGAAATTATTTTTAATAAAATTTTAAATTAATTCACCCCCCAAAATAACATCATAAGATTTTTATAATGTAGCTGTGCCACAATATGTAAGTACATCTTGGTAATCTCTATGGGGAACTAAGAAAAGCTACAAATAATAGAAAGACATTCTAATAATTTTACACTAAATTTGCTCTTTATAGAAAAGCATCTTCAATAGGCTTCTTCTATCTAATATACAAATGGAAAGCATTATTAGCATGAATAGAATTCCAGAGGTTAGTCTACCTTACCCTCTTAAACAAGATATCCACAGCCTATCATTTATCTCTTTTTAAAGAGAGGATTATCAGAAAATGCCCTTAATTTTACCAACATAGTAAAAATGAATTAAAATGATTAATAAAAGGAAATTTGACAAATTGTCTTGTTTATTTTTTCCTAGAAAAGCTTCTTATAGATATCATTTCCTTTTGTAGTTTTAAAAAACGAAAAGATTATTATAGCCACCTAGAGGAGGAAAGTTGATCAACAAATATGCCATCACATTTTCTTACTTTTCTGGAATACCTGTACTTCAGACTTACAGTATATAACCTGTTCTGAAGGACCCAACTAAAGGGGTTAACCAGGGACGAAACAGACTTAGGGAGGGTATTAAAGCAGCCATCACGACCCAACAGAAGCTAGAACAGCATCCATTTTGCAGTGGGCCTGACAAGTACGTTTTTATAACTTACTGCATGACCTTAGGTTAAAAGTTACTTATTCACTAATCTGAAATCTCTTCTCGCTGGTGTAAACCGAGATCCTCTTACCTACCACAATGAGTTGCAGTGACGATTATACAGGACGGCGTGTAGAGACACGAATGGGGCCAGGCACATAGGAGCTCAACAGATCAGAGTCCTTACCACCTGGCCGGGGAGTTCTGCTGCACCGTCTCTCCTACTCCCTGCCAGGCCCTCCTGCCCCTGCTCTGCTCTCGCAGATGTTTCCAATATTGGCTTCAAAAGCTTCTCTACTGGAATTATCCAGAGTGCTGAGAAATGGGCTAACGGTTCCTTACCTGCAGTAAGGTAATAGTATGTCATGTGAAGGTGATACCATTATAATTAGCTAGTTAGTAATGAGAGAGAAAAAGCAAAAGGGAGGCCAGACATTATAAGCATGGCCATCTGGGCAGCTTCACCAGGAAGCTGCAACTTCACACTCCCCAGGGAACTGCGGGTCCATCCCCCGTAAGCCACTGGGGAAGGGACCGGACAAATTACACAACTGTAATTCAGAGTTCTACCATTTTCCACATAGACTACTCCAAAGACCTCCTTAACTGGTGTCTTTCCTAGAGTCTTCCTGTTGTCAAATGAATCTTTCAGAAACACATCCCTAATCATGGTCCCTTGATGAGTTCTCACTGGCTAAGAAATTAAATCCAGAAGTAGACTTCCAGAGCCAAGTAGACTTCTCTCTGTTCCTGAAATATTCCCTACATTTTACCACTTTTTACTTTGGGGTTTATGAAGTTCCCTCTATCGAAACTCCCTCTATGTAAATCTTTTCACCGTCTTTTCGCCCATTCTTCAAAGTTGAACACAAATGCCGTATTTTCTGAAGCTCTCTCATGCCTTCCCAATGGACGGGTACTTCACTCCCTTCCTTAGAACCTTTCAGCATTTTATAAGTACTGGGGCATCTTTGGGCATGTTCAGAATTTACTATCACATGGAAACATCCCTCCCCAATCAAATGCTTCTGTTCCTTCCCCACGCCACCAAATCTACTATGGGGTCGTCGTGATCTCTGATTTTTCAATAGCAATAACCTAGGATACAAAAGCCAGTATCCCAGCTTACTGTATCTTACATTATAACTTGGTCATCTCCCCACCCCAAATCCCAACCAAAAATTTTTAACAATAAGGATATCCATCACCGCTGGATATTCCACAGACATTTCGAATTCAGCGTGACCAAAACTAAATGATCTCTTCTACAAACTCACTTCCCCAATGCTCTCTAAACTAATTAAAATCTTGATTCCTCACTCAGTACATACATTCAGTCATTCACCCAGATATACTGGGACCATCCCTAAATCTACGAATTCTGTACCCCTAAATTCACTGCCAATGAGAATCTCACCACTGTTTACATAACTGGTCTTTTCTGCCGCCAGCAGCTACTACTTCCAGTTCACCTTCTGATACAATAGTTAAACAATCTTTTTTAGATACATTGATCCAAAAGTGCCATACTGTCCAGCTTCAAAACCTTCCAGGACTCTTTATTTCTTATAAGACAATGCCCAATCTCCTGAGCACAGCATCCAATCCTATTACCTGCCCATTCTCCAAACACAGATCCCACATGAGACACTGAAATACACTCTGCTCTCCTGCAATCACTGGGCCATGGCTGTTGAAACAGCTTTCACTCAGGTCCAGTTCACCTGTTCTGCGAAGGCTGCATCACACATCCCCAAATGCCCACCTCCCGAACGAAGCCCGAGTCACCTCCTGCTCCGCACGCCACGAGACCAACAGGCCTCCTATCACACTGCATTACACGTACACTCATGGTCTTCCTCCTCCAGGCCGTGGGCTCTTCGAAAACAGCTTGTTTTATTCAGATTTTATCCATAGTATCTAGTAAAAAGATTTCAACAGCTGTTTACGAAATAAATCTCATTTCAGAATGCCTAAAATCAACCTACCTGGGTGTTTTATGAAATAATTTAGGGTGGAAATGGTAGAGAAGTACAGCTGGGTCCTGCATATACAGGTAAAATGAAATGACGGCGATCCCAGGACACTTTCACCAGCGCCAGAGGCCAGGGCAAGGACAGGGGAGCCACTGAGGTTGTGCCTCTGTCCTCACTGCTTTGCCGCAGACACAGAGCCACACCAGAATAACAGGACCACGGGGAGGAAGCAACCAAGATGGCAGAGAAGTGACGGGAGTGAGGGAGGAGACGACATAAATAGGGGGAAATAAAGCTACGAGAAGGGAAGCGTCCAGGGTCCCAAGTTACAAACGGGGCCTGCTCAGGACTATCACCACCACGCCGCTTGCACTGCCCTCCCCCCCTACAACACCCATTTCCTGATCACTCACCCTTTACTGCTAGACACTATGCTGAGGACTACCCCACACACCATTCAGGGTTCATGACAACCCTACCACGAAGGTAGCACCCACATGTGAGGGACAATAAAGCAAACCTATAAACAATGAACCACACTGCCCAAGGTTTCCGTTAAGATGTTAAGTCATAGAGCCAGAATATAAAAAAGGGTCAGGCTTCAAAATTCTCTTTCCACTATGCGACCCATGTGCCTGGGGTGTAAATAAGTTGGGAACTGGCTTTACTGCTTTGCACTGTTTAGTTATCTTTGGGAGCACACGTCTTGTTTCCTTCATTACTAAAGGTATGTTTGAAGGTAAAGTCCACGTCTGTTTTATTTCTTCCCTAGCATCTCATCAAGATCTTTCTATATAGTAATCACTCAGTATTTGATTAATTTCTTATTATACCTGGTTAGTAGCAGAAATAAAAAGAGGTCTAGTGCTCTTTAGTTAGCATTAAACAAAAAATACAAAGAAAGATGCAGCTCCTTTGACTACAGTATGTGCTGGGGTAAGACTTCAAGTCATCAATTGTAAGAGGCCCTAAAACATACACCACAGCTATGAAGTTAAGGATGGTTTGGTGTAATAATGAAAACACTGTCTAAGACACTCCTTTCTTTAGATCTGGGTATAAAGATAACAATTACTGTATGAGTGGTCATATAGTACATCAAGCACATTAACAACTCACTTAAACGTGGAAATAAGTTTGCTTTCATTGTTAAAACCTCTTCTTTCTCTAGAAAGGTGTAAAACCATGCGAGAGTGGACCTGCGTCTTCCACAGAGGTTGAGTTCTAAAGTCAATGTCACTACATGAGGCAAAAATCAATTCGAGACGAAATAACCTTTGGAAATTCCTTGGGCCATCCTTACAGCATAGTATAACACAGGACCAACTCTCAGAAATCCCAGCTGCACAGTTTTTCCTCACGCGCGGAACACACTGAGCGCCATTTCTTCTGCCATGTGCCACAGGGAGCGCTCGGCTCATGTACAGAGGCCACGTCGAAGGAAAGAGCACACATGTGCACACTGGAATCACATCTAACATAACACTGAGATATTTAGACGATATCAGCTCCTGTAACAGGTACTTAGGAACAGAGTCCACCTGATAGGACGGCATAGTCCCATCTTTCCTGTCATTGCTTGTGAGGCATCTGCTCATTGTGGAAAAAGAGCTACAATTACGACTGTATTTAAATTATTTAGTGTTTTGCTTTGGGTGTTTTGGGTTTTGGCCTGAGCCCAAAGATATGAATTTGAATAAGTGATAGTCCCAGAAATGTAACTCTACTGTATGTGCCGTCTCGTGTACTGAGCATCCACAGGTGCCTAGAATTTTATGCACAAATAATCTAACACTACAGTGTGTCATCTGAAAAAAATAAAGCAGCCTGTCTTACCTTCGTCCATTGATGCCTCGCTACTGTAGCCATCATATTCTGCAGACAAAGGGCTGTATTTCTGTCTTGTTTCCCAAGTATAGGTCTTTTGTCTAGAATGGGCCGAGGGCAGCCTGGAACTGTGGGCCCGGGATGCGGCCCTGTGGTACTGGCCCAGCGCTTCACCTTCACTCTCAGAGGACGAGCCATGCTCACCTTTATCCATGTACGAATTACCTATTTGCAACGAGGAGAGCAAATAAAAATTGTAATGCAATAAAGGATGGTGAATTTCTTACAGTTTTATATATATACACACACAACATACACACACCGAAACACATACAAATATGTATAAACACATATATACAAATACACACACAATCTGAATTTTCAGTTTTAGAGAACTATAATTTTTTCACCTAGAAAGCCCAAGACTTTTTTTTTAAAAAAAAACCAAAGATTTAGATTTTATATTTTAATAGAAAAAAGACTGATTTGGATACTCTCATTACATAAATGATGTTAGTCATGGGGATTTTCCTACAATGTTACACAGAAAGAAATAACAGGGGCTCATCATTTTACACAATCTTTTTTAAAGGACCAGTAGTATACAGAGGGTGTTACAAGTCATTTATTATCATCTGAGAAGAAATTTCCAGAACTGACAATTCTTGGTGCGAGGAGTGAAAGAGACAAGGGCAGATGTACACAGGAGTGGGCAAAAGTAGGCTCACAGTTGTCAGGATGTGAAACAGAATGTGTGTTTTTTTAATCCTCACATTGATTTTAGAAAGAGGAAGGGAGAGAAAAAATCAATCAGTTGCCTCCTGTACATGCCCTGACCAGGATCGAACCTGCCACCTTTTGGTATACGGTCCAACGCTTCCAACCAACAGAGCCACGCGGCCAGGTCAGAGTTTATTCTTTAGTATTACTTATTAATTACTGTATTATTTCTCTTACAACTGTAAACCTGCCTTTGCCCACCCAGTATTTTTGGTGAAATTGTAAGTGGTAAAACTTTTCTAGAGAGCAAGTGGTAACACATAGTAAGCTTTCAAATCTGCATATTGTTAGATCCATTTCTAAGGATTTATCAGTTCCATTTCTCAGAATTCAGTCTAAGAAAATAATTAACATGTGAACAGGGAGATATATTTGAGACAATTCAGTGCATTGTATTTAATAGCTGAAGAAAACAAAAAATAAAATAAACCTCCATCATTGGGCCTTGCTTAAGTAAATTATGATATNAGAGATATATTTGAGACAATTCAGTGCACTGTATTTAATAGCTGAAGAAAACAAATAAAATAAACCTCCATCATTGGGCCTTGCTTAAGTAAATTATGATATATCGATGCAATGATATACTATGCAGCCTTTAAAAACGAGGTAAACTTACAAGTACTCAACAGGGAAAGAACAAGGTTATAGAATATAAGGTATATTTATAGTCTCATTTTAAATACACACACACACACACACACACACACACCCTACATGCAGTATATACACAGATACATGAAGTATATATTTACATACGCATACAAAAATGTGTGGAAAAATACACAACAAACTTAAAATTTATTATCTGCAAATGGTGATATTATTACTAAGAAACTCTCTCANCATACAAAAATGTGTGGAAAAATATACAACAAACTTAAAATTTATTATCTGCAAATGGTGATATTATTACTAAGAAACTCTCTCACATATACCAACATTTCACTTAAAATTTTTAGGTGGTATAATTTTTTTATAATTTTAAAAAGCACTAGTTATTACCGTTTAAAAAGGTAAAGTTTTTGAAACTGCAACATGCTGACATGCATTTAAACCAACATGCAACCTTCTTAGCATTATAAATCAACTCTAGAAAGATGAAGAGACCACAGCAGGTAGAATTTATGAGTTCAGTCTAGATATTTTCCTCTTTATACTTGGTTGAGCTAATCTGTACTAAAGAAATCAAGGTTTGAAATTCAAGTGGGGAGGTGCAGGATAAGTAATTTTACAACACGGGATAGGAACTGAATGTTTAGAGTTAGAGGTAAGGAAGCTTGAGTGTCACCTGGTCTAAGTCCCACTTTTTAATTCACTGAAACAAAGTCATAACAGGGTAAAACTGACCAATGTCATATTCTGCATTGCCCAACCTATAGTTACTAGCCACATGCAGCTACTTAAAAAAATAAAATTTAAAATCCAGTTCCCCAGTGCTACTAGCCACGCTTCAAGTGCNCACAATTAAAAAAATAAAATTTAAAATCCAGTTCCCCAGTGCTACTAGCCACGCTTCAAGTGCTGAAAGCCATGTACCAAGTCACATGGAGAAGCAAAACTTTCCCATCACTGCAGGAAACTGTTGGGTGGTAACGAGATGATGGCAGATCTGGTCTAGGACCCAGACACTGTGACTTCCAGTTCAGAGCTGTCACACTATGGGGGAAACCAAGGTGGTGGTCTTAAGGCAGCAAGAGAGCACTGAAGACAATAACTAAATATTTTGGTCACACTTCACCTATGATAAAATACTGCCTAAAATAGCCCTGCATTCAGAGATAGGGAAGGAAAGTCCCTTCTCTTTCTGTGTGTGATAAGCTCTGCGTCGGGACCAAGAACGCAGGAGCGAGTAATATCAGTCTGGCTGCATGAAGAGATAAGCTATGGGTCAAATGATTTTGAAAACGATTTTTAGAATACAACATGTTTAAGTTTAGTACTGGCTATAATCTTGAGCACTTGAGAGGTATTTGGTTTCTTTAGGTACCAGCATGCTTCTTAATGAAAGCAAAACAAAATTAAAAACTCTGTACTGCTACTTGGGAAGTATTTATTTACTAGTGTGCACTCTACCATTACTTTGTGAACAAAATAATATGTAAATTATTCTAAACTTTTATTTCTTTATTTCTGCTCATTCAAGTAATATAAAGGCTACCAAAAAACCTCTGAATCTGACATTCAAAAGGCTAACAGAAGAGCAGATTCCAAAATGGACATGGAGTTGATCTTTGGTATCCACAGGGGTTGGTTCTAGAACCTTCTGCAGATACCAAAATCCAAGGATGCCCAAGTCCCTTATGTACATCCTCTCATATGCTTTAAATCATCTCTAGATGACTTATAATACACAATACAATGTAAATGCAATGTAAATATACTGTATTGTTCAGCAAATAGTAAGAAAAAAAA